ATATATATTATGGTAATAACCATTAACAGCATATGGCAATTGCATATAACTAGCTGTATCACACGTTTTCGTTTTACAGTACAGATCGGTTATTATTATATTAATATGTATGCTAAAAAGCTAAAATAATGGAAAATGGCAGCATTTTGAATTGTAATAGCTCAAAAATGTGTACAATATTTAGTTAACTGTTGTTGTCATTGTTATGAGTGAATTTCCAATTGAATACTGCATTTTAATGACATAAACTTACAGTATTAGTGAAAATTTTAGGAAAAAATGGCGGCCATTTTGAAACTACTGGCAACCCCCCTTACCTATGAAAAAAAAAATATTGCACATACTTTTTTGATTTATAAATGTCTACTCTACATCATATCCAATTTTTTTAAAATATAGCCAAAAAAATGCAACCTCTGATATTGCTACATTTCGGACTGGACTATAGGCCTAAACGTCTCCATGGTTACGTTGTTAATTACTGTAGTTCAGCCTTGCACTGGATAAGACCAAAACCCATATTCATGCAAAATCACCCTCCCAATTCCCCGTCGGGGTTGTAGTACCATGGAGGAAATTTCCGTCATGGTAAACACTAAACACGTGGCGAAACAAGGCAAGACATGTCATGAAATAAAATTCATAACGATACTGATATCTGGAAAGTCATGTTTGCCTATTTACAAAGTCAGCATAACACACACATAGGCGCAATAACATCATGTACTCTGCTGATTTTAAGGGTTCATATTGTTAATATGAACCAATAATACATTTAGGCAGTAGCAAATGTCATCTACATAATACACAAAATGATGTAAAAATACCTACGGAAAGCTCAACATGATAGTTTTCCGCACAGTCGGCTGCCTTAATAAAACAGTTCAATGTAAAAATACCTACGGAAGCACAGTCGGCTTGCTGGCTAGTACTTCGGTGCAAGAACATGTGAGTTACAAAATTATCTTATATATACTGCGATACGATGGCCTCGTTCAATGTCGGATGGTTGCGTGTTTGTTACAATACAATAATTTGGGAGATTTTTAACGTGAAATATACAACCTTAAAAAAATATTTATAGTAAAAATCCATTCTAAAAGTATGAAGATGGGATCGACGTTGGTGTTGCCATTTCCGAGTTTATCCGTACAAACACAATTTCTCTTTATACTCAGTAAGTTTAGTATATAGATTGTTGTGCAGGAGTGCTCGTTGAACTATGTTCCACTATGGTGAATGGGGTGTTACTATTTTTGAGTTAGTTCTAATATATACAGTTCGCCCTCCAATTCGAGACCACTCCGGATTCACATTTGCGATAATATGGCAAGAGGGAAACCTGTACCGTCCCTCCTTACTAAAAGGGCCCGACAATGCTCTGGGATCTGTCTTACCACCTGGCTACGCCAGATGTTTATCACAAATTCGTGCTGAAGAAATTAGGCCAAGGGAGGAGTGTAAATAATAATTTATTTAAATAAATAAACAAGTTAAAAATAAAATTACATTACTGACAGAAAGAAATTTATTTCAAAATCAACGAAACCAACATAAAAGATAAAATTCAAGAAAATAAATCAAACTAGCAAAAATGTGTACTAAATCACTCCTCCTACTAGGCATAAACCATGATTTTGTATCATTCACCAAATGTATGAACATTTGGTTTACGCTCCTTTAAACTTAATTCAAATCGATATTATGCGACTGTTTTCGTTAAATGATTTGTTTTGTCTACACACCAATATCGATTGATATGGTGGTTTGACGGTGTTAATTCCTGTCATAAATCTCTAATAAACCCATTGAATTTGTGCTAAATGTAGATAAGCCGCCTGTATTCCTACTGAATGCCCCACCAGTCTGAAACATCATATAGAATGTTAGCTCGAAATTATAAAAACAAAGTAAGTATTTTTTTTTCTTTTGACTTGTTACTCCATCTTTCTTTTACCGTTATAAAGGGTGCTTTAATATTAAATTATAATGTTACAGTGTATTAAATAACATGTAGTTATTCCTCCGTGCTGATTTGGTGTTGTTTTTCTAGGTGCTAGGCCCTACTTATTAATACTACTGAAACATGTTTTATCTGGCAGATCATTAGTCTTTTATTGTACGGTGTGAATTCGATGCTAGGCTATTGGTAGGCAGATCACCCATATCTGCAGTTCTGCTAATATTGCTCTTTACAAAATGTACAAAATCTGTGACAATGCAATTTATTTTTGTTACATAAATCGACTAAATACTAGCACCGTACTTTATTATGTATCCTCTTAAGTTTCTTTTTATGAGCGAGTAAACGACAATATAAAGTTTTCTAGCTTAACCACAGCTCCACTATAATAAGTGTGAGTGTCCAGGTAATTGTAGGAGAGAAAGTGCCTGGGGGTTTAGATCTGCGTATACCGTGAAGGTCTCCGTGGTCTAGTGTAGTACTAGTACTACACTAGACCACTATTGGTATGATACTCGTCTTGACAGCCATGCTTGATACGAATAATATTACAACATGTTCTATATATTGACTCAGAAGTACCGGGTTGGTGTCCGGCGGGGGATAGTTTTCCACCAAAGTTTTTACTATTGTTTATTTTATTGAACTGTGCTGGTTACTTTTTGTTGTTGTTATTGTACTATGTGTTTGCAGGACCATATTGTATAACAGCGGTAAGATCTCGCATGTATATGTTATCCTGCCTAAAGATGTTTTAAATAAATAAAATAAATAAATAAAATTAGAGCACTGTATATAATTTGATTTTAATATGATTTACTCTGATTCCCTAGCTGCGGTCAATAACTGCTACAGACACAATTTTTACATAAAATTGAAAAAATAATTTTTGTTGAAGGGCTATGCTCGGTACGATAATAACCTATTAAGTTCCTATCTGAGCACTGTTATGACTATTTATACATTTGTTGCCTGCTGGTTCGAATTCCGCTACAGACACAGATTTTACATACAATTGAAAAAAATATTTTTTTTTTAGCTTGGTACGATAATAACATATTCCGCCGCCGTTGATCCCCACCCCCTGCATACGAGCCTGCTCAAATACATACTTCCTTCTAATATACTCATAACCTTATATAATACCTTAGTTTTACCGTATATTTCATATTGTATCATTTGGTAAATGTGAAACCTTATGTCCACGGACAAGCCTTGAATCTACACATATTGATCACCTGTTGAAATTACAAAAGAGAGACTTAAGAATTTGTGACGTTCACCATTTCAATCTTACACCAAACCTTTATCTTAAGTTCAATGTTTTGAACACCTATATTATTAAACTTCAAACGATACGGTATTATTAAACTTCAAACGGTTGTATTTATGTATCCTATTCGCAATTTTATTATTCCCTCTCATATTTCTTCTTTATTTGTTAAATCTTCTGACAATAATGCCTTTAACACTAGCATGCCGATAATTACTTAACTGAAGCTTTCACAACAAATCTTAGACGCAATTCAGCTTTACAAACGTTGGAATTCTCTCTCGAACGCTTTAAAGAAAAACCATCCATTGCAAAATTTAAATCTAATCGCAAAAAGAAATCTCTAGTCTCTATATGGTGAATTATTGCCAGACACAGTGGCCGCTATAGCGTCTGAAATCTGGGGAAGGGGAAGGGTAAAATTTTAGGGGGTGGAATATGCTGGGTGGCCTTAGGTGGGCGTGGTCGGGCGTCGTTCAAAATGTCTCGAAAGTGATCCAGGGGATATGCCTACCCCGAAACATATGATAATTTAGGGGGTTTCGCAGATAGTCTATTAATATGTAGAAACTACTTCTTCCCGATGGTTTTCTTTTTCTTTCGGGTTTTGTTTTATACAGTAATTAATTTCGGTTATTGTGTTCTTAGTTTACAGTTAGGCCTTTGTCTCTCAATGCTTTAACTATAATAGCGCCCTCACTATAGGGTTGATAAATGTCTTCATAGAGTAGGTACAATATTATGGTAACTGATGGGCAAAATACATATTGCACACGACACTTAAATATCTTTTTCACACGAAATATGTTATATTACCTCAAGTCACGCACTTGAGACTTAGTATACCCATGGCACTGATAGAACATAGATCATCTCACGACAAGAATCTTTATCTTTTATCTTTTGATTTGGTGGTAAGTTTTCTTATATTTAATCATTGTTGTTCTTCCTAGTTCTAAGGGACAACGTCAAGGAAGGCTGAATATAATTGGGTCACGTACAACAATTAGGTAGCATACTGAATACAGTATATCCAATGACCAGGGGTAATAACGCTCAGCGCCTTTGATCATATAATTTGGAATTCGCGTTATATAAATATTCAAGCATTATTATTATTATTATTACGCCTATTATTATTATTATTATTATTATTATTATTATTATTATTATTATTATTATTATTATTATTATATTCTATGCTGCAACGTACTATGGTATTATTTCTCAAACGATATAACCAATTATACAGTATTTTCATTATCATTATTTTTTAAGCCTAACAGTAGGTAGAGCCATATAGTCAGGAAACTAAATAACATGAAAACCAATAATAGGCCTAATTTGATAGAAAATGACGTTTTGTCCTACCTGACGTGTTGTCGTACTGAATGCTCAGTACCGTACGCTCCAATCAATCGCAAGTGATTCGGTTGGGAATAGAACGCACGACCTCCAGATAACTATCATGGTGTCATAACCATAGGACTACTGAGATTACGGTTAGTAGCTAGTGTTTAATACGATACTGCTGTATATTCAACCACAGACACTTTTGACGATTGCGCTAATAAATCATTGCGCCAATTATTTTTTTGTTTGAACACGTTTTAGGTTTGAAATTTAATGAGAAATCTAGTCAATTAATAGACGCATATGCTTTGTATAGATTTGGATTTCGGTTTTTTGGTTTTTTTGGTTTTTTTTTCTTTTAATTACCAGAACATACATTTATTTTGATCTGGGCATCGCATTATTGGAGATTGTAAATGCCAGAAATTATTATTTGAGCGATTTCATAATAAGCCAAGATAATTTCAGAGTTTTTAAATTTTATCAAAGAATGCTTAGTTCAAAATTCAAATTTAGTTCAAAGAATAATTATTGTATCCTTCTAAATATACACAAGACGTCTGAATATTGAATCATAGCATCGGGATTACTAATTTCATAATAAGCCATTATATAAACTTGATTAATGTAGGAGATGCATACCGTAAGCTTCCTGTACTTCTTTTGTCGAATACCAACGCCCACGTTCTAAATCTCTCGTTTTAGTAACAAAACTTTCCACAGTGTAATTGTGTTCAATCAAATAATATTATTTGCACAATGTGCACTATTACACGAACGCTTCCGTCTCTGTTTACGTTCATAGGCGTAGATCCCGGGGGGATGGAAGGGATATATCCCCCCAATATTTGACAAGGGGGGATGGTCCATTGTATCATCCCCCCCCCCCCAATATTTTGAGTATGTATGGAATAAAATGGAGCTTTACACAAAAGACTGTCACAGAAATAATTTGCACTGTCTTATGCACTTACAAAGATAAAAATTAGCATAATGTATTAATGTTGATAACAAAATTATATTATCTGGTACCAATCTAAGCTCTTCTTTCCTTAGATGTTAGATGTGCTTGCAAAGAGAGCCACATTTCACACAATTCCAAGAATGTTTAAGGTTATATCGGTTGATGAGGAATTTATTGATTAGGCCTATAATAGCAAATTGCATAAATTTATTTTGCAAAAACAAGGTTTCCAGCTTCAGAGGTGGGGGGGGGGGGCACATCACCTTTCCGCACAAGGGCACAAATTGGCACTAACACCAGGCGCGTAACGGGGGTCTTGGGTCGGAGTGTGTATTTATTTCTTTTATTTTTTTTTATTTTTTTTTATTTTTTATTTCAACCATCTTTAAAGAGGGTAACCCTTTTAGTTTAGCCCAGTAGGTTAACTGATATTCAGGGGCCCTCTTTAATAAAATTAAAGAAAAGTACAAACAACATCATTACAACATCATAATAATAATAATAATAATAATAATAATAATAATAACAACAACAACAACAACAACAACAACAACAACAACAACATACAATCCTCATTTCCCGGTTAGAAATTTACCATACACACCCCACCCCACCCCACTCCCCATATAAAAAAACAATACGACATAGGGCTTATCTTATTTATAATATATAGGCCACACACGTGCGTTTCAAACTAAATACAGTATAAGCATTTTCATCATGGTTTTATTTATTACAAACATATTCTTTCACCGTCTATACACATTGAGGCCCTTCTTTTAGGTTAAAATGATTTATCTTAAATTTGTCTTTCTTGAGTTTGGGACTATTATGTGTTTAAATAACTTAAAAGGATAAAACTAAAAAAGCCCTAAAAATGCGCGCCATGCGCGCAAAATGTATATATTTTTTAATTCTAATTTCGTCGGAATTGATGAAAACTCCCTAAAATGTGCAATTTATAGAGGAAATTGGCCTACCATAACAAGAAATGCACGCAAAGAATTTGAGAATTTTAGGCACTTTCAGAGGATGCATTTGTCAATGGGTGGGGAAAGGTTTTCCAAAGATTGATATTTTCCCCTTGTCCCCCGGTGTTTTTAATTCTAATTTCGTTGGAATTGATCAAAACTTCCTAAAATGTGCAATTTTTAGAGGGAATTGGGCCATGTTAACAAGAAATGCGCGCGAAATTTGAGGTTTTTAGGCACTTTCAGGGGATGAAAGGGCATTTATAAAGGGGTGGGAAAGATTTTTCAAAGATAGATATTTTCCTCTTGTGGTTACGCCATCGGGCAGCATAGATCAAAGGAGTTATCACAGTTTTTGAAGTGGAGAAGGGGTTGCAGGGTGTTGTGAGTCTGGTCATTATGATATCTTCCTTTTTATTTTTGTCTTTATTTTTCTCTTCTTTTTCCCCCTTTTCTTTTCCTCTTCTTTCTCTTTCCCTCCCTCTCCTCTCTTTCTTTTCTCTTATTACCCAGCCCGATACGACGGCTTGGTCAGCCCGGTAAAAACCGTCAGTTTTCCCCTGCCCCCCTCCCCCGCGCCTGTTACGACACTGGCTAACACGCCAATCATCTCCCCCAATGAAAAATGTTTTTCTACGCCACTGTTTACGTTACTTATGAATTTAGGGCAGTTGTGGGCACAAAAATCGGTCAAAAGCCCAAACGGTGAAAGCACCAAAATGTTGATGGTTCCAGTCCAAAAAACCTTCATGCACTGCCTTTATATGATTTTATTCTTCTTTTTAATATTACTTTTATAGATGATCGGTGTCGGGCCGTAAAAACTAGGCGTTTCATAGATGGTTGGCGGTCCCGCACACATAAGGCTTTTATATCGCGGGCCGCAAAAAAAAAAATAAATAAATTACTGTCGTGCCGCACTTTGCCCACCTGTGAGTCTTACGTCAGTAGGCTATAGTAAATGTAGGCCTACAGCAAAACATAAACTTATCACATCTCAGAGGTTAATAAAGGCAACGAAGAGAGCGTAGGTTGGATCCTAGAGTGACCTACGTGAAATGTAAATATACCACTGAATAGATAAGGGCTTTACATTACGTTCTTATATTAACAGTTAATTTGCATATTTGAATTAGACCTACTATAAAAGTATGTATGTATGTTATATATTTATTTACATTTTTAGTAAAATGATATTTCTCTCTTTTCTGGATTTATTGGATTGTGTTTTAGTTTCTTTGATCTTGCAATCTAGGCCTACCATATTTCATGTTCTAATCTTCCTTCATAAAAAATAGGATCCCTGAGCAGTTTTTTTTCACAATACCAAAAACAGTTTTTCAGGTTTCATGATTCAAATGTTCAAGCCCAAATTTATCATTTCGTACCGTTAGTTTTCTACCTCTATGCTATGTTTGTAAAAAGTTATAAGCATACCACTTATTCATATTATTTAAACACCTCAAAAGACAAATAACATTGGGTCTATTGTAAATGTTTGGTATCGATACTGGCAATCAGACATTGTTTGAGTATCAAGGAGAGGATATAGACCTTTATACACCCGATTTTTTATCTAACGTTGATATATAGGTCTACCACAATTTCAAGCAATTCCTATACATTAAATTTTATAAATTATGCTAAGACGGTGGGAAAAAGTTTCATCTATTCAATTACACCAACAACAGCAACAACAATAGTAATAGTAAAACAATAGCAAAATCACAAAAAAAACAATGTAATAATAATTTGCATTAATGAATTACCATTAGGACTATTATTGGAAGAATGTCAAGCAATAATAATGGCTATATGGAGTTGCAGGAAGTAAACGGTACGGCAAACCGTAAAGTATATGGTACTACAACTGCCACAACACCCACTGGCAGTGAAACCAAGAAAGATGTGGAAATTGGAAATTTTCACTGCCATAGAAACACATCTCTGGAAACTGACACTATCGGTAGAAAAGCAGCAAGAAAGAAACTTGTGTATGCCTCCATCGTATGCATATTGTTCATAGCTGTGGAAGTTGCAGGTAGGCTAAACAATTTTATTTTTTTTCCTTCGCATCCAACAGCAGGTAGGCTACACTCGCCACTTACAGGATGGAATGATGCTATATAAGCAAAATCCCTTATTGAAGCCTTGAAAGTGGAGTTATTTTTGGCCGTCAGAAAAAGTCCTGCTGTGACAGAAATTGAACCCAGGACCGTATGATTAGAAGGCAAGCGTCTTAACCACTAAGCTGTAGATTCAACTCCACTCCAATTTATACATTAATTGTTTAAAATATACAAAACAACCGATGGCTACAAAAATAGATTTTTGGTATCGACTGTTTTAAAACTATCGACCTAAGTCGACTGTTATATATTATATTTTATTTATTTATTGATAAATATGATTAGTGAGCGTTCATATCAATTTTAAAGAATTGCGGAAGGCGCGTGAGAAAATAAACAGAAAAAGAAAAATTAGGAAAACTAAGAGAGTAAATATCTAGTAACTCACCCGAAGCAGAGGAACCAGCATTACCGATCCGTTTACCAGCACTTAAAAGCCTCAATGTGTGGGCTCGCTGGTTCACGGCTCAGGAGATCAAAGGAGCTGTTTTATTCAACGAAGCGGATCCGCGTTCAATCAAATGAAACTTTTACCTTAGAAAAATATCCTTTCATTGCATGAGTAAAAACTAATCATTATTGGTTTTATAATAAAAATCTTTCTGCCAATGGAAGTCCATCCTTTAACGAATGAAAACATCGTAGGCCTATATTTGCAACAAATAAGAGACGTCCAATAAAAGAAAACAAAATGGAACTAAATTAGGCCACGTGAAGACATGAAGAACGATGCAAATCAAATCAAAAACATTAAATATTTTTTCATAACCTGTATAAAAAAATAACCAATTTCTCTTTCCAGGCGGATTTTTAGCGGGAAGTCTTGCTATCTTAACTGATGCTGCACATCTATTATCCGACTTTTCAAGTTTTCTAATCAGCTATGGAGCACTAATTCTTGCCGATAAGCGCCCGAGTAAACGCCTGACCTGGGGTTGGCATAGGGCAGGTACGTATGGTTTGTTTTTATGTTCAAAAAGTTTTCTTATACTACATTACATTTTTATTAACAATGTTAACATTCTATTGTATTATCTTTTATTGCTTTCGTCTTGAAGTTGTGATATTCGTTGTACTGTTTTTAAGTCTGTGGATTATGTTGTTTTTATTGTGAACGCAGTGCATAGTGTGTGCCACAGATGCAAAAGTGAAGCTATGAAGCTATTATTATTATTATTATTATTATTATTATTATTATTATTATTATTATTATTATTATTATTATTATTATTATTATTATTATATTAGCCTATTATTACTTATTGTTATTATGCTTTATGATCGTTTACTAGTATTTTGAAGGGAAATCTCGACTTACCTGTTATGATGTAACTTTATATCTCCCTGATTTGTGTCTTTAACTCGAAATTATTGATAAATGTTCTTTGTGTATTAATAACCTAAATAACAAACCAACACATTTTCAGTTTAGCACTGTTCTTGTGTTATTTCAGAGGTGCTGGGTGCTCTTTTGTCCGTGGTGATGATATGGACAATCACAGCAGTATTAGTCATACTTGCTATTCTGAAAATTGTTAGGAATACATATTCGATTGATGCTGAAATCATGATGATAACAGCAGCGTTTGCTATCTTTGCAAATATTGTGTAAGTGTTTGATCTTGATTACACTATTTATCCAAGATGCATACGTCTGCTTCTCACGACGTTTGTTTGAAATGTATTTAATAGGCTCAACGCTTTGTAAGTGTTAAACAATACTTTTAATTGCTTCTCGATCCTTAAAAGTTGGAGTAACGTTTATGGATATGGAGAGATAACTTTCTTATGAAGATACTATATATAATTATACAATCTACAATATACTAATAGTAGCGGCCCTATTTCAAGTTTTCTTTTCTCCCTCTCACACTACCCATCTCTTACAGTATGCTTATAGTTTTGCATGACCCATGCAGTGGTCATGGGCATTCACACGGTGGTCACGGCCACTCACATGGGGGTCATGGTCACTCACACGGTGGATCTGACAAGCACCATTTGATAGATGAAGAGAACTCGAATGTGGAGGACCATTCGAGGAATGTGAATATCCGTGCCGCAATACTACACGTCATAGGGGATTTCTTTCAAAGTTTGGCCGTGTTCATAGCTGCCGTTGTGATATATGTCAAGGTAAGCTGAAGACGATGTTAATGATGGTTGTTTTGGTGGTGGTGATGATAATGATGGCGACGATGAGGATGATGTTGACGATGATGAATGTACACATGAAAAGTGATAATAACAAATATAATAATTATTATAATTATGATAATGATGTAATAATTATAATAAATATTAATAATAATAATAATAATAATAATAATAATAATATTTATTCGACAAAAGTACAATCTTGCCAGAAGAAGCAAGGACTCTAGACATGAGCACAATCAGTAACTGCTCTACTCCATCATCACGTTGATAAAAATAATAATGCATAAAGGAAGAGTAGGCATATTGAAAAGCCTCTAAATTAAGCAAGCAATCAGTGTACGGCAATAATATTGCTATATATAACATAATAATAAACATGACATAGGGAAAAGTACATACTGGATAATTGTATCATTTAGAGAAATCTGCCATAGATATTATTATGCCATTGGTATGTGCATAATTTAAATTAAATTCAATCGATTAAAAAATTCTTATATACGGTACGGTTTTGTTTTTGTTTACAGCCTGAATACAAGCTAGCAGATCCGATATGCACATTTATTTTTTCAATTCTTGTCCTTGGTACAACGGTAGCAATAAGCAGAGATATATTTCAAGTTTTGATGGAAAGTAAGTTTATTACTAAATTAAGCTCATATTATTTTTCTGTGTATGTAAAAGAGTTTTCCATCATGTAACTTTCTGTTTAATTTTGCTTTATCCTCGTATGTTTCTATGACCATGGAATAATAAGTTTTTATATATATATATATTTGGGTTTGACGACCATTCATTGTTATTTGAAATTTGAAAATGTGTGTGTGTCAAGTAGTAAATTTCAAATAACAATCAATGGTCGTCAAACCCAATAGAACTGTAATTATATTCGTTTTTGTCACGACAAATAAGTATATAAAAGCGGATTTGGGAATATGATAAATCCGCCTTCATCTTTATAAGCCTATCCGTCATGAAAGAAAAACATCTGTGACCACATGGTCTATTCTACACCTCGCTGAGAGTGATTGCTGAAACAGGATACGATTTTCCCTGGTGCGAAACATGCCATAGCATGTTCGCTCTCTCAAGACTTTTACTTGCTCAGGACCTATTTGGTACTATAAGGCCCATGTCTCAATATTAGTTTTAACGTTGTTGACCTGTTAAATTCGCCTTCTATCCAATGCTATTCGGCGTTAGTTCGAGCCAATCATCGCCAGGATAGAACAAAGTCTTCTCGGTTATGTACTTACAATAAAGGTCAATTTACACAACTGGCTCGTGTGCACTTTAAAGAAGCCATTGCATCTTTTCGAAGAAATAGGGGGTTTTACCCAGATGTTATGGTTAATTTCTGCCGTTGTGAAATTATGTGAACATGCAGCTACTCATATTGCGAAAGTTTGTTTTATTGTTGATTCTGGTTTATAATAAGGTTGTGCTGAATGACACCCTAAATGGGATGGGCTTCTACATATTGCTAAGAAGCCAAAACCGACAGATGCCATTGGAAGACTTGTACAAACACAAGTCAGATGTTAATGTCCCAAAAGCTCAATGTACTACTACAGCGACATATCAAAGACGCACAGAATGGCAAGCTTCATTCGGGATCACAATATAGCACCGGATATGAAGATGGATAAGAAATTATCCTTGAGCAACAAATCAAACATTTTATTAACATGCTTCCGGATGAAATGAGGAAAAAAGGAGCTATTATTCACACAGAAGATTATGCTGATCTCTTAATTGTCCAGATGGCTGTGAACATGGCCATTTGCAAAACGACCTTCATAATTGCAGAGAATCCTGACTTCCTCGTGTTGTTTTGCCATCACTATATAAGCCAGGTACTACTGTAGTTTGTACATGAAGTTTGAGAAGAGCGAAATTAGAAGAACACTTCGGGATATCGAAAGTACTTGTGGTACTTTACGAAGCAGATTATGTACATTGTTGGCGTTTCTACATACTGTGTGTTTCTGCGACACCACATTTGCCATCCATGGAATCGGTAAAGGAGGTGTACTTGGTTTATAAGTCCGATGAACTTTTAGCCGATAAGTAAATATTTCAGGTCTGAGTTCATTTAACCGTTATGACATTAGAGCTAGAGATTGGGCAAAAGCATTGGTGTGTCTGTATGGAGGACGAGAGAAAGCTTTGATCATTGTAAACAGAGAGAGGTTTGGCGACAAGGTGTTAAAGAACCTCAATAGTGTATACATCCAAGGACTACCGAATGTACTGCCAAGTACAATTCATACAGAGTCTATGAGACTCGCCTATGGATGTGAAACATAGAGCTAAGACCTGAAGATTGGGGATGGAATGTTCGTGGATGATTGTTGCCTCAGACAATGGAAAGTAAGCCAGCTCCTGATGCATTGTCGAAATTATACGGTGCAAGTGTAAGGAATTAACATATTGTGGCACAATGATCTGCTCATGTAAGAAAAACGGAATGTTTTGTCACTACTGTGAAAAGTGTCAAGATAGACAAATCCATTATACGAGTTTGTGTAGGCCTACTGAAGGTATATGGAATCCACCAATGCCGTAGCAAGGATTTTCAAACTGTGTGCGACAATATCAAGGTGGACCCACTTTACGCGTAAATTCAAATAATGTGGACCCATTTTCTTAAAAGTTGCCCCATTTTACGCAAAAATATGAATAATCTGGACCCATTTTCTTAAAAATTGACCCATTTTACACAGAATATGAGAAATCTGGACCCATTTTTAAAATGTGGACCTATTATTTGTAGACCCAATAGAAACATTGTGTGGGACTGTCTCAAAAGCTAGCTACGGCATTGGAATCCTCATATTATTGAGTACATATTATTACAGGTATCTATCAAGAAACTACATATGAAATTGACAATTTTTTTAAAATTAATGTAATTTTAATTAACAGTTAATGTTGCTAATTCTATTTCTTCATAAATGTGCTAATAATTCTCCAACCTTGAAAACATATTTAGACAATTTATTTGTCGGGAATGAATGCTTAGATACAGAGTTATTCGAATAATCGATTCTCCTCTAATGACGGAAGCTAATTTGCATATTTAACATAGATACATAGGCCTCCAGTGTGTATAATTAATACATATATATGTTAACCATACCCAATAACCATGAAAACTTGGCTTTGGATGCTTCATTTGTTATGAATGAATGCTTTAGACACAGAATAACTGTGGAAAATCATTTTTTTTTTGTAATGGTAGCATATTTAACATAATTATATGCATATAATTAATTCAAAAATATTCTAATGATATTCTCTAAATATCAACAAATAGGTATGTATACGTTGCTTGATTGAATGCTTAGATGCAGAGTTATTGCGAATAATCGATTTTCCTTTAATGGCGGAAGTTAATTTGCATATTAATTTATCTACATTAGGTGACTTCTGGGTTGAATATGTCATTCAGTACAACATTTTTAACCTAAATCGACAATAACTTTTGCAATTTGTTTATATGTTTGAAATAATTGATTGGTCATATAT